TTAGTTTACTCTGTTCTGTTATCACATAGGCCTAAATCAATGCTGGAATTAATCTGACCTATACCTGACCCTACACAATATATGTAATGTAAAGTAACAGCTAACATCCGAAAATGTGTACCTGTATGTAACAGTGCTGGATTCCCATCTGTCTCCTGGAAACGCATACCTCTTGGCGAGTCGGCCACCAAGAGCAGTTCCGTCTTCATTTGGCATCGTAGGATCTGGAACGCCACATCGGGGCTTCTTCATGGCCTCTAAAGTTTTGGAATCCATCTTACCAGTAACAGTTATATTATAAAATCTTTGGAAATTTTCGACTGCTCTCTTTACTGCTTTACTCGATTTGATTTCTGATGGCCCCATCATGTTATTAGACTTTAAATATCCAAAAGATGTTAGAAAGGTCTGAAAAATAGTGCATATTGAAAATATTAAGATTCAAAGATAACAAATTGTCTTGATCGGGTAACTTGCACAATTAAATATAGGCTTTTAGGTATAGGCCATCATATAGGCTTTTAAACAAATATGCAAGTAATCAGATACTATAGGCCTAGGTCTACGTAAGTTTCTTTCCAATGATGCATTGAAGAATTTTAACTAGGCTTACAATTCCCAATTCGGTAAACTGTATCTTAAAAGAGCTACATCTTTTTTTTTAACTTGTAAAATACATTTTACTTGAGAAAGAACCCGCTTACCAAACTCTCCATAGCTTCTTCATCAGTAGTTGCAGATGTAACAACGAAAAAAGCACATAGGATGCCCAACAAAACCAAATCTTTGAGAATTGCCATAGTATTAAAAATTATGTTTGTAAATACGGTACAACTTGTTTAGAATTCCTCTCTCCGTCCAAAAGATCTGTTTGATGGAGCTAAGAGGTTGGCTTGCTTTATACCATTTGACGAGCGTGACTCAACTTATACCACGGCCTATACAGGAAGGATATCCCTCCTCCTTCCTATATTACGTATCTTTAACTACCCATTATGACTCCAACCGCTTACGCACACCTCAAAAGTGTATTGTAGAATAATACAAGGTATAAGACACATAATATACTGGAAAGAAGCCTAAAATACAACACAATTGAAGGGCTATGGCAATAT